CTCTGTCCACCTGTTTGTCATTTGCTCCAGGGCTGGGGGGTTTATGTCTTTCACATACAGCAGCTGGCATCTGCAAGTGGAGCCTGGGGCTGCCATGGCACGGCGTGGAGTCTGTCTATTCAAATGTAATCAAAGGGTTTTGAATCTGTGATCTCTGTTCAGAGCATTTTTTTTGGACTGAGTGGGTGTAAGAGTCAGCTGGGGTGGTTTATACTTCTTGGATCTAGCTGCCTGCCATTGGATGGGACACGTGTAACAATTGTGGGCCGAGGGATGTGGACTTTTCTCGCCTCGCCTCCTTTCCAATGTTCTGTAACTGGTGTGCAAATAGGGGTTGGCTTGGAAAAAGCGCAATGGGTATGACGTACTATGCGCACACAAGTGTGTTTTTTTGGTGTGTGCGGTCAGACTCGTCAGCGACAAAAGTGTGTATGACGTACTATGCGCACACAAGTGTGTTCCTCTCTCTATACACAACTGCACAACAAAAGCATGACTGTGCCAGACTGTTTCGTTGGAATTTCACTGACTCGTCGGCGACAAGGACTCGCCACGTCGCCCAGAGTTAGCGATACCCATCCCTGAGAGAGAAAAGTGGTCCCCACTTTAATCACACCAACCCTGCGAACCTAGCAGACTTTCAGTCCAAAACCATGGCAAGAAAGGCTGTAAGTGGTGTGTGTGTGTGTGTGTGTGTGTGTGTGTGTGTGTGTGTGTGTGTGTGTGTGCGCGCGCGCACGCACGTTATGACTGCAGTGCTGTGGGGTTCGTATGGTTTATATTGCCTCTATCTGATGGATGAACAATCAATGCTAGTTCCTGTGTACCCTGTTTACATGGCTACGAGGGATCGAACCCACAAGACGCAAAGCGCACCAAAGTCGTAGTTGTGGCGCGTAAACTCGGACGATACCATCTTCAGCGTGATGTGTAAACTATGTCACTGCAATCTTATGTGTTGTGCATAAACTTGTGTACTCTCTTTCCGCTTCCTGTCACTGGTTTTGTGCCCGTGTCTGCTCAGCATTTTTTGCGCCCCCTGCTCTCTTTACTAGCTTCTGACCGTGTCTGCTC